ACATACCGGGCATGCGTTTAGATCCTTGTATGCACCGCGGTAGAGGATGCAGTCATTAGGGCATGCATGTATCTTCTCCACCTCCAATCCTAGAGGGCATACGACCTTCTTTGCTGCGTATGTACTGTCGGGCAATTCGTTATCCTTTGGAAGCTTCTTCTTTAATATTTTCAGTAGCTTCTCAAATCCTTTGTCAGCCACAGCATTCTCTGTCTTCCACTGCAGCAATTCCAGTACGGTACCGAGCTTTGTGTTGCCATCTTCGCAATTGGGGTATAACCCTTTTTTGTGATCCTCTAACATGCGATCGAACTTCAGCTTCTCCTTTTGACTAATGCATTGCGTCCTTGCATCGACAATGACCCGGCGGAGATCATCATCATCGGGCACATCGTCTGGTTCCTCTTGATCTTTAGCAGCTTCACCCGTTGCAGCATCATTGGGCACATCGTCTGGTTCCTCTTGATCTTCACCAGCTCCCCCCGTTGCAGCATCACCATATTCAGGGGGCACATAGTTGTCATCGTAGTCTTCTTCTTCGCCGTCTTCCATCATAACCCCTATTTCTCCGTGCCTCGTCCAAACATTATAGTGTGGCATGAAACCCTCGTAAAGCAGGTGGGAGTGAAGGATTTTCTGGTTAGAGTAAGACCTCGTATTCCCACATTCAGTGCATGGACAACACATAAAACCATTCTGCTTGTTTGCCTCAGCCGCATCGAGAAACTCATGCACGCCCTTAATGTACTCGCGGGTGTGTCTGTCACCGTACATCCATTGCCGGTTCATCTGCGTGCATTATATATAATTAAGTGTCCAAATTAAAGAAGTTCATCATCACATTAAAACCAAAGTGCATACATAGTTCTCATCTAACAACATATAGCTCTCCAGAGCATCTAATTAATTAAACCATACATTGAAACTATGTAAAACATTTCAATGCGAAAACAAATGCGATCATAATCGCAACCAAGGTAACAATTGATCCAACGGCATAATGATACCAAGCCTCGGTATGAATGGCATATTTTCTAATCTTTCTAATCTTCAAGCGCATTGCATCCATCTTGATCTTGTGATCATCGATGACATCCGCAACATGCAACTCCAATATCATCTTCTCCTCCTCATTTTTTTTATTTTTTCCTTCAACAAATTGTTTTCTTCTTCAACTAAATTTAACCTCTCGATAATAGGGTCGGTTGGCATTTCCGATTCACATACATCCTAGATAATTAAAATCTATGTCACGTTGGTCGGCATAATTTTCATAAACAATAAATGAACCAATAGTTATAAAGATAATGTACATACCACATCCGAATCATAGACAGGACGAGGGCCGACGGGGGCGGATACCAAAACCATCGCACTATATAAGATGCAATAATAAATGTAAGAAAATGATACAAGTATCTATCTAAACATACAAGTAAGAATATTTTTCCTTGCAGAAAGAAGATAAGAACAAGAGGCTCACCACGATGGTGTCGGTGATGAGATCGGCGCAGGTGATCAACGGCGGTGAAGACGGGGACGGGGTGTGACAGACCACTAAATCTAGACAAATCTCGAGGAAAATGGAGCTTGGAGGTCGAGCTTCGAGAGGAGAAAGCTTAAGTAGTGTGGCTCGGGCATTCCATCGAACACCTCATGTGCATAGGAGGTGAGCTAGAGCACCACAAAGCCCTCTCCCCCTCGGCCAGAGAAAAACAGAGCACTGGGGTGCTCTGCTCGCGGTATATATAGGCACCTCATTGGTCCCGGTTGGTGACATGAGCCGGGACTAAAGGGGAGCCTTTGGTCCCGGTTCAAGCCACCAACCATGACCAATAGTGGTGGGCCAGGAGCGAGGCTCATTGGTCCCGGTTCATCCCACCAACCGGGACCAAAAGGTCCAGATGAACCGGGACCAATGGCCCACGTGGTCCGGCCGGCCCCCTGGGCTCACGAACCGGGACCAATGCCCACATTGGTCCTGGTTCTGGACTGAACCGGGACTAATGGGCTGACCCGGCCTGGACCAAAGCCCTGTTTTCTACTAGTGTTATGTGGCAACATGAGCATTTTTTGAGATCTTTGCGAGGGGAGATTCAGATGGAGGTGTTTAGAGATGTTCTTATTGATTGCGATTTGGTTGATCTAGGCTTCTCTGGCGCCCCTTATACATATGATAATGGCCACCAAAGCCAGAGCAATGTACATGTCCGGTTGGACCAGGCCTGTGCGGACGAAGCATGAAATAGATTTTTCCTTTTGCATGGGTGCAACATCTAGTGTCACCTGAGATCGGACCGTTGTCCTTATTACCGCATATGGAGGAGTTCGAGGATCGGGGACGGAAAAGCCACCCACGATATGAGATTATGTGGGAATAGGATCTGCGGCTTCCGACAATTATCTGTAATGCCTGGGATCATTCTTGGACGGCGGGAAGCCTGGGAAACGTTGCTGAGTCTTAGAGCTCAGTTATGACAGAACTTCAAAAGTGGAGTAAACCAGCCCAGTCCACGATGAGACGGGGGAGCCTCAAACCGTCGTCTTGGTCAAGGTCGATGTGGGAGCAAAGGGCCATCAAGGTGGCGGGATTGATGAGCATGAGCAAGGTGAACAAAGAGTGGCCAAAGGTAGGGGGCTGGTGAGGATGGCATGAAGGACTTGGGACCAGGTGGTCCAGATGCCGACAAGGGCGAAACATGGATCCTGCTGCTCTGGTTCCCATTCCATAGATCGAGAAGTTGTGTGATGGAGATGCTGGTGGGGAATGAAGAGAACTCGACTACTGTGTAGCAAGGGCATCTCCAACGCTATCTCTTAAGATGATGAACACACTATCATTCCACGGGCCGTCTCCAGACGCGTCCGTGTCCGCGTATATGTTACGGGAACCGGTCATGTGGCTATATATACCTTAAATGTTCATCTCTATTAACTTAAAAAATAGCAGCGGCAATAATGTTCAGCCAAATAGTGACTGCCTTCCATCAACCTTTCGTCAAATAGCAGCGGACACATACTAAGCACTTGAGTATGCAAACATAGCATATCAGTAGTAGCTTCCAAAAAAAGTGCATATCATTAGCATTGTATTAGTAGCTTGTGCAACAACGTGCATTAGTAGCTTCCGCCAAATATCATGCGTGCTAGCTATCGTTAGTAGCTTCCTCTAAATATAATGCTAATTAGTAGCTTCCGGTAAATGCTACTATTTGTCTTCCATCAAATGTCTAATCACCTTCCACCAAACAGAAAATTTTAGGGGCGGCCTTCAACTATTCGGACATAAAGGAGGAACGCATAGCGAAAATTCAATATGGGTCGTACTGGCATATGGTCACATTATCCAGGACGTTCGTCCTCCTAGAGATGCCCGCTCATGCAGGTATATGCCATTGTATCTCATTAGCCCAGCATTTTTAGAACAGTGCTCCTCTTGGTTGTCTGTAGTCAATTATGAGGCCCAGCTAATTTGGTCCACTACGGTCCTATCGTTACTAAGATTATTTGGGCTGTTTGTCATGGTCATGGGCCGTTTTCCCTGAACTCCTGGTTGCATGGCCCACTTTGTGAGCTCACGGGCGGCCAGCAGGTTCCCCCATGAGATATATGTCTTCAGATCCCATCCTCCACTACCATCGTCACTAGATCCCCATTGTCACTAGATCCCATCCTCCACCACCATGTATGCTTCTTCTTCCTCTGGTCCGCAGGATCCCGACATGGAGTTGCTCCCGCTGATACCAAGGCGCGTGGTGGTCCAGATTTCGGCAGGGCCATGGTGCTTATGCTGGGCGCCGCATTGATTCTTCTCATGTTCTTGCTTGGCATCTCTGTCCTCATACTGGCAGTGGTGTATTTTAAGTGAGGCGGCCATTAGGCATAGTTCTGATAGTTTAGGTGCTGGCAGTAGATGCATCAGGTGTTCTCCTGTGCTTGTACCGGGTGCATGACAGCTAGTTTCAGTTATGTGTGTCATTATGTATGGCTGATGTGATTTCGACCATGGACTATCAGTTTAGGATCTCACAAATGACCCTATGTTATGTTATGCCTGTGTGTTAATCAGCTTAAAATGGCAGAATGAGTAGTTAATGCTTTCGTTTTTTTCTGTCTCTTTATTATCGTCCGGTTTTCACAAATGCAAACGAGCAGCATGCTGGCCATGCGATCAGCATTACAACTGTAAAATACGCGCCATGGGCTCATTTATTTTACCTTGACTCCGCCTCAACTACCCCAGCACCCACCATGTACCACCCCACCCCTGTCCCAACTACTAGTCATTTACCATCGTTGTAGCTTCTCCACATGGGTCCGCTGCTCTTCCTCTCCGAAGGTAACCCTCTCTCTCAACCTCCATGCCGGTGTTCGTAACTATCTTCTCTTATTTATCACGAATCTATGGTTGATTTCTTGCATGCCTGCACCTTCTTTTTTGATTGAGCAGTTGTCTCGCTCTGGGAACTGCGATGATGACAAACTAGAAGTTGAGCAGATCCCCATGCCGCAGGGTCGGACCTCAGACACAGATCCAAATCTGGAGCAAGCACCCAACTGCACTTCAAGGATGTCAGTGAAGCAAGTTGTCGCAGTTATCAAGGATTTTAGCGAGTACAAGAAGTGGCTTGTGACTGAGATCGGTTTTGGAGGTATGCTTGACCTCCCAACGCACCAGAAATTTAATCTCAGGCTTAGTGCATGGCTAATGAGCAACGTGAGAGTACACCGGTGTGCGATTCACATCACTGAGAAGGTGTTAAAATTTTGGGCAGAGGATGTTGGAAAAGTTTTCGGCATACCATGTGGCAGCCAGATGTCAAGGGCCGGGATGCGGATGTAAATCCTAATTCTGTTGATTTTATCAAACGCACCTTGAGGATGGATCAAGTTGGAGCTCACAGCCTTCGAGCTGCAGAGGAATTCCTGAAGCGGGACATAACAGAGGATTCTGGCAAGCTGGAGAAGATTGTTTCCAGATTGCTTTTGTTATCGTCGTGATGGGACATATTCTGGTGCCTTCCACGAAGCACAATTATGCCACCATAGATTTTTGGGGAGCACTTGCAAATCCGGAGAACATTCAACAATTTAATTGGTGTGAGTATGTACTCAGCTGTCTGACGGATTCGGTTACCAAATTGCAAAAAGATTTGGTGATGAATGTTCAGACTATCAACCTCACTGGCTGTCACTTGTTTCTTCAGGTGTGTTTAAATTTTTGTTGGGATATATGCCATCTATTTCAACAGAAATATTGTTGATCGGTCATTATATTTTCTGTGGCAGGTTTTCTTCCTTGATAACCTTGAACTTGGTATTTTCACGACAAAACATGATGTTTTCCCGAGGATCAGTGCCTTTGACAGGGCCACACTTAGACGAATGATCACCATGGCCACGGACATTGGCAAGTCGCCAAGCACCTACACTAGTGCCATGGTATGTTTTGCCAAGCTACTAATGTCTTTATGGTG